CCCAGGTGTGTCTCCGGTGTCCCCAGGTGTCCCCAGGTGTGTCCCCAGGTGTGTCACCTGCACATCCGGGTATTTGTTCTCCACCAGCTGCTTCGTCCTCTCGATCATCTGGCGCCCGAAGCCGGTCACGCTCTGCGGGGACACAGGTGAGCTCAGGTGTGCTCAGGTGAGCTCAGGTGTGCACAGGTGAGCTCAGGTGTGTACAGGTGTGTACAGGTGTGCACAGGTGTGCACAGGTGAGCTCAGGTGAGCTCAGGTGTGCCCAGGTGAGCTCAGGTGTGCACAGGTGAGCTCAGGTGTGTACAGGTGTGCACAGGTGAGCTCAGGTGTGCACAGGTGTGCACAGGTGTGTACAGGTGTGCACAGGTGTGCTCAGGTGTGCACAGGTGAGCTCAGGTGTGCCCAGGTGTGTACAGGTGTGCACAGGTGTGCACAGGTGTGCTCAGGTGTGCACAGGTGTGCTCAGGTGTGCTCAGGTGTGCACAGGTGTGCTCAGGTGTGCACAGGTGTGCCCAGGTGTGCACAGGTGTGCTCAGGTGTGCACAGGTGAGCTCAGGTGTGCACAGGTGAGCTCAGGTGTGTACAGGTGTGTACAGGTGTGCACAGGTGAGCTCAGGTGTGCACAGGTGTGCACAGGTGTGCTCAGGTGTGCACAGGTGTGCTCAGGTGTGTACAGGTGTGCACAGGTGTGCCCCAGGTGTGCCCAGGTGTGTACAGGTGTGCCCAGGTGAGCTCAGGTGTGCACAGGTGTGTACAGGTGTGCACAGGTGAGCTCAGGTGTGCACAGGTGTACACAGGTGTGCACAGGTGAGCTCAGGTGTGCCCAGGTGAGCTCAGGTGTGCCCAGGTGTGTACAGGTGTGCACAGGTGTGCACAGGTGAGCTCAGGTGTGCACAGGTGTGCACAGGTGTGCACAGGTGAGCTCAGGTGTGCCCAGGTGAGCTCAGGTGTGCTCAGGTGAGCTCAGGTGTGCCCAGGTGTGCCCAGGTGAGCTCAGGTGTGTTTCACCTGTCCCCAGGTGTGTCACCTGTCCCCAGGTGTGTCAGTGTCTATCCCAGGTGTGTTACCTGTCCCCAGGTGTGTGTTACCTGTCCCCAGGTGTGTCAGTGTCTATCCCAGGTGTGTGTTACCTGTCCCCAGGTGTGTTACCTGTCCCCAGGTGTGTCACCTGTCCCCAGGTGTGTTACCTGTTCCCAGGTGTGTGTTACCTGTCCCCAGGTGTGTGTTACCTGTCCCCAGGTGTGTCAGTGTCTATCCCAGGTGTGTTACCTGTCCCCAGGTGTGTGTTACCTGTCCCCAGGTGTGTCAGTGTCTATCCCAGGTGTGTGTTACCTGTCCCCAGGTGTGTTACCTGTCCCCAGGTGTGTGTTACCTGTCCCCAGGTGTGTTACCTGTCCCCAGGTGTGTCACCTGTCCCCAGGTGTGTCAGTGTCTATCCCAGGTGTGTGTTACCTGTCCCCAGGTGTGTTACCTGTCCCCAGGTGTGTGTTACCTGTCCCCAGGTGTGTGTTACCTGTCCCCAGGTGTGTCAGTGTCTATCCCAGGTGTGTTACCTGTCCCCAGGTGTGTGTTACCTGTCCCCAGGTGTGTTACCTGTCCCCAGGTGTGTGTTACCTGTCCCCAGGTGTGTGTTACCTGTCCCCAGGTGTGTCAGTGTCTATCCCAGGTGTGTGTTACCTGTCCCCAGGTGTGTGTTACCTGTCCCCAGGTGTGTTACCTGCGATATCTCCAGGCAGGGCAGTTTTCCCGCCTGCGCTCCGGTGAATCCGTAGACGGAATTCGCGCTGACCTTGAGCGCGAGCTGCCGCCCGTCCAGCACCTGCCGCCGCTCGGGGTCCTGCTCCTGCGCCAGCGCCGCCTTCACCCTGCGGGGACGGCAGGTGAGCTCACCTGGGCACACCTGGGCACACCTGGGCACACCTGGGCACAGCTGGGATCCAAAATCCCCACAAAAATCCCCAAAATCCCCATGGAAATCCCAAAAATTGACCCAAATCCCCCCAGCTCGGGGTCCTGCTCCTGCGCCAGCGCCGCCTTCACCCTGTGGGGAACTGATCCCTGATCCCTGATCCCGATCCTGGATCCAATCAATCCCAGAATTCCCGATATTCCCAGAATTCCCGGAATTCCCAATGTTCCCAATCCCAGAATTCCCGGAATTCCCGGAATTCCCGATGTTATTCCCACCTGCTGCGCGCAGCCAGCAGCCCCTGCAGCACGCGGGGCAGGACCCCGATATTCCCAGAATTCCCAGAATTCCCAGAATTCCCGGAATTCCCGGAATTCCCGG